TATTTTCCATAGCAATGTGGTCATCTGCCCCCATGCTTGGTTTATAACTGTTTTGGTTTATTGTTGGTCTTGGTTTATAGCTGTTTTTTCTCCCTGGAATTGCCTACCAATGTTCCCTCTAAGCTGTGGAGTCTTGTGAGCAAAATTTCTACTTTGTGAGCCACTGGCATTAAAGCTGTGAGCGAGTGATTTAGCTACTGCATCAGTTAGTTTGTCTCTGGAGCCCTCCTTCCTGAGTGAAGAGAAAAATATGTGAGCCAGAGGCTTAAAAGCTGTGAGCTAGCTCACACTAACTCAGCTTAGAGGGAACACTCCTGGTAGCTGGAATGTGAATAGCCACATATTTTGTACTTCATCTATTACCAAATCTTTTTACCTGACATGGGTGGTTTGCTTGTTTTCCCCCACATGTGCCATCAGATAGGCTCGCCAGCTCTGAGTTGGCAATACCTTGGAGATTTTGGGGGTGGAGCCTGAGTGGTGGGTTTAGATTCAGAGGAATTAGCTGTGTTAGTCTGTTGCTGCAAAATAGTCCAAGAGTTCAAATAGCACCTTTAAGACTAACAAATAGCACCTTTAAGACTAATCTTTAAGACTAAGACTAACTGAGTGGTGGGTGTGGCCTTATGACACACTTCCGGTGATCTCAGGGGGTGTGGCATATGCTAATGAGTTATGCTAATGAGTTTCCCTAGCTCTTTTTCTACAAAATGACCCCTGATCCCATTTCTAAATTTCATTCAGTGTACCATTTTTAAGTTGAAAGTGTCATCCTGAGTAGAGTTACATTCTTTTAAGTCTGCTGAAGTCATTAGAAGCATATGACTCTGTTTAGAATTGCACTGTGAATATTGCCCAGCATCTTAACCAAACTTTGGACATTTACTGACATCTCCCCCCCAAAACTGTGCTGCATTTTGGAAGTGATACAGAAATGTAGTAAGTCATAGGAATAGCTTGCCACAAAATTGGACTTACCATGCCATACAGTTTAATGTTGTCACTGTACCGCTTGCATTAATATGTTTTGGGAAATGCAGGAATAAATGAGCCGAGCTGAAAGCTTACAGACCAGCTGCAGGCCTCTGGTTTGAACTGTATAGAACTGTGAATTGTGTGATTTTTGTAGAAAGGATTTTTTGTTATCTCCCACTTTCTACTGTAGTTCCCTTTGCTCGCTGAAAAGCTGCTCCCATGGGCCAAACCGTAAAAAATCCCGGAAGTCCCATAAAAGAGCTCCCCATAATTTTTACCCTTCAAATATCAGATGTGTTGCAGTGAGTGGGACTGTAGCGTGAGGAGAACGAGGCTTTTTAAAAAGCTTTTTGCCCTTCTTTTTTTCAGAGCGACCTTAGAAAACCAAGTGGCTCAAAGTGCTTTTGCCCAGATTCAGGTGGTGTATCAGCTAGTGGTCGATTTGGTATTGCACCAGTTTATGTCTGGCATGAAACAGGCAGTTTAAATCTGCAGGAAGATATGCTGGACACGGACAAGTGAAGTATCGGGTCAAGCACAGGAGGGGACAAAACACATGTGGAACACACACACACACCCCGCAAAGAAACAGGAAAGAACGCAGAGAAGCCTTGTCTCTAACCTTTAGTGCTGTAATAGCTTGGGTCTTCAGTTAACTCCTCACTGATTGGCTCTACTGGGACTTTCCCCTTGGCTGGTCCAGCGGACAAGTTGCCTCCTTTAAACCAGCTGGAACAAAGCTCTGTTCATTCATGACAACACATGGGTTGGAAGCGGCACTTTTAGCAACTGGTTCCTAGATATTCCCAATACTCCCGGTAACCTCTCCACATCTTCAAGAACAGAAGTGCTTGCCTTGAAAAGGTATGAAGATAGTGGGAAGAGCTTTTTGGGTGCAGAGCAGGGGGATGTCTAGGATGTGCCAAGTCAAGCTGGAATCTTACTGTAGGGCTTCCTACCCCTTTGGAAAGGAAAGTGGATTTTGGAAACATGGTCTTGTGGATGAGCTACATGCAAGAATAGGGGTGCTACTGTAAAGGACATCTGTCAGGCATGGTTTTCTCTAGATCATGCATGCCAGATACACTTTCTTAAACCCTCCCCCCAGGCAAAAGTGTCCTTTGTGAGTCCCAGAATTTGGTTTGCTAGATTGCAGGAAGGGAGCTTTTGCAGTTTAGCAGACACTGTTTCCTCTACTGGGATAAAAAAGCGCTAGGATCAGTTTGCCACCATGTCTGATTTGGCATTTGACTGGAAGGCCCCTCAGAAACAGTGTTTCAGCCAAAGACACTTTTAGTTTCCATGTGGCTGTTTTAAGATAATCCTTCTCATAAGTAGTCTTAAAGGAATGCTGATAGAAAGGGAAAATCAGCAAAAGTCACTTTCTGCCTCTTGCAAAAGCTCTCCTGTGGTTTGTGCAAGTGGGTGGAGGAATTTTTGCCAATTCCCCTTTCTTGCTCATAGCTTCCTGTGCTGCATATTTCCCAGGCCTCCTCCTCCTGCCCATCCTTGAACAAATTCTCAGGGGGCACAGAACACAGCCATGACAAACAGGAAGTGGCAAATATCAATTTTTTTTTTTACACTGCTCCATTTGAAATTGTATAGGATAATATGAAGCCAGTGTTTGGCCCCCTAGAAGCCCTGCTAATTTAAATTATGCTGTATTAAAAACCTCCCTAACAAATCTGATACAAAAAGAGAAATTCTGCTCTTCAATGTTATATTATGTAATGGTCTCATGAACAGCACTTAAGTTCTGTAAAGTGTTGCCAACCTCCAGGTGGTGCCTGGAGATGTCCCACTATTACAATTGATCTCCTGATGACAAAGATCAGTTTCCCCTGAGGAAATGGCTGCTTTGGAAGGTGGACTCTATGGCATTGCACCCTACTGAGGTCCCTCTCCTCCCCAAACCCTGTCCTCCTCTGGCTCCACCCTCAAAATCTCCAGGCTGTAGTTCCCAACCCAGAACTGGCAACCCAATCTGTAATAGTGCCTGGTGAGACCTTGAGAATGGACAGTTTCCTAAATGTTTGTGTCCATTTCAGTATATACTTCTTTCCTCTAACACACGCTAACAAAATGAGCCTCTCAAAACTTCTTAACTACATGCTATCATAAGCAGTGTCTGCATAGAACAGCAAATCAAGTCACTTCCTAGTTAGCTAGTCTTCCTAGTACAGTCTCTTATTTATCTAGTCAACCCAAAATATCTAATTTCACTATTTATCACTCATGTGGTGGCTGATTTTATATACCTACCTTGTGTATTGCTTATGGTTGTTAATCAGTTTAGGGCTAGAAAGCTTCATATTTCTTAGAAAGTCATCCTTTGACTCTTGTGAATCTGTGCTCACCATTTATTCACCAAGAAGACAGTGCATCACTTGCCCCAGCCTGAGAGTTCCTATCTATACCTTGTGGCTTATAGCCACTGATGGACCTTTGCTCCATATGCTTATCCAATTCCCTCTTGAAGCTGTTGATGCTTGTAGCCACCACCACCTCCTGTGGCAGTTAATTCCATGTGTTAATCACTCTTTGGGTGAAGGACTTCCTTTTATCTATTCTAACCCGACTGCTCAGCAATTTATTTATTAATTTATTTATTATCAAATGTATACCCTGCCCTCCCCGTAAAGCAGGCTCAAGGCGGCTTCCAAAATGACATATATACAGCTTAAAACACAATTATTAAAAACACAAGTAAAACAATTTCATTGAGTGCCCATGAGTTCTTGTATTGTGACAAAGGGAGAAAAGTACTTCTTTCTCTACCTGCTCTTTCCCACGCATAATCCTATAAACCTCGATCATGTTGTTTCCTCAGCCG